AGAGATCACATGATCCAGCCCTGTTTTACAGAACAGAAAATAGAAGTGTAGGAATAAGAAGTGGCTTGGGGACCAAACTCATCACTGTAGGGCCAGGATAAGACTTTGGATCTCTGATCCTTCTTGGCTTGTGTGGAAGAGCTGTGATCTCACATATCTCCACGCTCTGATGTGTCTGCCTTATTTCTACTGTACAGACTTTACTGCAGAGGATATTTCAGAAATGTTTAGACAGCAGAACTTGGCGTGGCAGGTCCTATTAAAACTGACTATGATACAAGATGAACGGAAGGAGGGCATGTAAGGAGTTGGAAAGAAACAGAGAAGATTTTTTATAGCTTATGATTATAAAGTTTAAAATAGGCCTGGTTGATATTGCCTACATTAAAAAAAAACACCCATTTAAAAACCAACAAAGTAATAAAATGCAAGTTTTAGTTTTCAACCCCCAGCAGTATTATACAGGCTTACAAATACAAAACTCTGACATTGCTCTCACTAACTTTCAAGGTTGATCAGGCAGAATGAAAAAGGGAGGGGAAACTTCTCAAGCAGAGAGGATAATAGCATGCCCTTCTGCATTACTTGCATTTTATTTCCAGCCCTGCCACTGACTTACTATGTGACCTTGAGTGAGTCATTTCATCTCTGTGTGTCAATTTTCTCATTTGTAAAATAGGATAATAAATACTACTTTCTGTCCCTCTCATGGGTGATGTTATTATCACCATCAATTAATATTTATTGGATGCCTGTTGGACATATAATGCTGAGGTAGGAGCTTTGGTCTGGGAGGTGGGGGAAAGAGGAGATGAAATATTTTCCATGAGCGAAAAGGAGGAAGATTTACAAAAGATAGAATTATTAGAGCCTAAAATAGCTATGCCTTATATTTTAAAGCCTACTTCTCTGCTGAGATTTATGTAATAGCATTTTTTCTTAGTTATTATACAATGCAGCAGGATAATTATGGTACAGAATACTGTTTTACTTTTAGATGATTCCAAGTAACACTATCTTAACCAATTACTGTACTTTCTTTTGTAACTGTAAATATTCTAAGCATAACTTATTTTAAAATATTTGTTAGTTATTGATAGTATTGGATCTACTTACCTAGCCACTACTTTAATTTTTAAAAACTTCCTCTTTTTAACAGAATAAATCGACATTAAATATCTAACACTGTAACTAATACCTTTTCTTCAAAGAGAATGAAGAGAAATCTGTAGTCACCTATTAGCATATCCCAGCTAAACCCAAAATTTTAATGCTGGTCATTACAGAGTAATCAGCCCAAATGAATGGGAGTTTCTTAGTCTGTCCAAATCAATCCTGTCTTCCTACTTCTGCTGTCATTACCCAATTCAGGTCCAACTAATCTCGCATCTGGACTATTCGAAGAGCTTCCAACTTTGTGTCTCTCACTCTGTCCTCTTCCTTTTTACCAACTGTCCTCCACACAACTGACAAAGGAGTTTTCAGAAGTTAATCTGTGAACGGATAAACAAAATGTCGGCATAAACATACAAAATATTATTCAGCCTTAAAAAGAAATGAAATGCTACAACACAGATAAGCTTTGAAGATACTACACTAAGTGAAGTAAGTCAGACACAGTGTTGTATGGTTCCTCTTATTTGAGGTGCCTGGACTAAGCAAATCTATAGAGACAGAAAGTAAATAATGGTTACCAGGGGCTGGGTGAGAGGGCAATGGGAGTTACTTTTTAAAGGGTACAAAGTTTCTATTGGGGACGATAAAAAAAAGTCTGGAGATAGAGGTGATGGTTGCCCCACATGGTGAATGTACTTGATATCCCTGAATTGTACAATCAAAAATGGTTAAAATGGTAAGGTTTACATTATGTATGTTTTATCACAATAAAACAATGATTTTAAATGTACATCTGGTCCTATCATTTTCTTGTCCAGAAATGATAATAAATTATTTACAGAATAAAGTCCAAACTCCTTGATATGACAGTAATAATCCTGCAGAATGGAGCTCCAGTTTATCTTTACAACATTATCTCTGATAATCTACACCACAAACAACCCTACCTTTCAATCACATTGGTAGAGTGAGCGTCACTGAGACTTACTCTGCTCCTCTGCTCCTTGGCTATCCAGTCTCCTTCAGCCTGGAATATATGTCCATTGCTTCCACTCCCTTCCTCCTGGCTGTGGAAAGTTTATACCCTTTGAAGCTTAACTCGAAAGCAACTTCTCTGTGAGGCCTTCCCACCGATATCAAAATTATTCACTCCCCTTCCAATAGTCTAGTCACAATGTATCATCTTATAATTCTTTTTAAACTCTGAATATAATGGGAGTTCCTTAGTGGCAAGAGGTTTTTATTGTTTATCTTTCCATGCAATGATGATTACAAGAGCAGAAACTAGGGTCAGGCAAGTAAGTGAAGGTCTTATGACACAAAATTTGTAAAAGCCTAAGAGTTAATCTTTTCTTATATATATATGTGTCTGATCTTATTTGCCTCATCCTAGTCTCACTCCAGTGATCACCAGTTTACTTTGACATTAGTTAGTGCTTATAATGCATTGTATTAGTTTTCTACTACAGCATAGCTAATTTCCCCAAACCTAGCAGCTTACAACATGTTTCTGAGAGTCAGGAATTTGGGAGTATCTTAGGTCAATTGTTCTGACTTAGGATCTCTCATGAGGTTGCAGTAAAGATATTAATGGGGGCTGTGGTCTTCTGAAGGTCTGACTGGAGCAAAAGCATCAGGTTCCCAGGTGGGTCACTTACATGGCTGTCGGTGGGATGCTTCAGCTCCTTCACATGTGGTCCAGCCCCTTGGGGATGCCTGAGTGTCCTCAGAACATGGCAGCTGACTTCCCTCAGAGCAAGTGACCCCAGAGTGGGGCACAGCCGAAGCTGTCATGTCTTTTATGTCTCAGCCACAGAAATCACACACTGTCCTTTCCTCAGTATCCTGTGGTTACAGCCCTACTAAGTGAAAAAGGGGACCACACAGAATAGGAATCCTAGGAGGCAGCGATCTTTGAGAATCATCTTAAAGGACGGCTTCCACAGACATACTGGTTTGACTGTATCGATTAGATTACCTAGTAGCAGGTTGGTATTACTTCTGATATCTGTTACTCTTATCTTCTAAAGTTTACATTTGTCTTTTATTTTTAAATCATTGAATAAATAAAACTGCTAACTTGTTATAAATGGAGAATATATCTGAGTCACTTTTCAACCCTCCATTAGTAGTACAGTGTTTTGCACCTAGAGGCAGCTTGAAGGATGTATAATATACAGAGAGGCTGCCATTTTCAATAGGTACCTGTTTAGAACTCGAGCTTACTGGATTGACAAATAAACTAGAAACAATAGAGCTAATAACTAGAACCCTTCTTAGAGCACAAGGTCGAGATTGGGAAAATATGAGATCATAAGGAATGTATAAGTAATGATTACTTTTTCTATAGAAGTTAAAGACTTCTGTTATTATTGTGACTGTTATCTGGCCCCAAGTATTCCTCTCTCTTAGTCATAATACAGCGCAATGGCTCTGAAAGGGGACTCCCACCTCTCCCTCCTGCTACTCTGGCCTTAAACATATTATTTAACTTTTCTGTGCCTTAGTTTCCTTGTTTCCAAAATAAAATGATTGATAAACTACTTCTTAGGTTTGTTGTGTGTATTAAAGTAAAAATATTTAGCATGATGCTCAATAAATGTTAATGAATATTATCATTATTGTATTTATTTATATGAAACTCTAATACAGCTACCTCTAACCACTGTTTCCAGAAATCAGTCTTGTAGATTCCTAATGCCACACTTTTGCACACATCGTTCTTTCAGCAAATTAAAAGACTTGTCCCTTCTCCCATTATGCTAAATATAATCACTTCCTCAAGGAATAGGGTAAGCGATTTCCCTCACCTGCTTGTGCCCCGGTGCTCCTGTGCTTCATATCAACACCTTCTCCTAAGCAGCTTTAAAAAAATCAAATCTTGCATTGCCTTGTTTTATTCTGTATCTTGGATCCTTCACCCCCTCTCCTATAGAGAAGAGGTCTCATATCTGACAGTTCACTATAACTTTGATCTATACGGAGTATTGGTCAGTGGAGACTTGCTAATGATAAAGATGTAGAATGCCTAATGTAACATTACCTACATTTAGATTCGTAATAAATGCTTCTTTATCACAAGCAATGAACAGATTGTATTGTTACCACAAATCAGTCAGGAATGTGTTCATTCTTTATACTGATTCCAGTTACAACTCTGAACATGATTGTGTTTTATTTAGGAATGAAAGCACAATGTAGACTATTAAAATGTCAAGATCTTAAAGAAGTCTGGATTTTTTTTTAATATTTTTTTCCTTAATTCTAGAGTGGGAAGGAGATTGAAAATGCAAGCCTGTTCAATTTAAAGACGGCTCTATCAATGTTAACAATTTTAACCACAGTGCAAGATTTGGGAGCAGTCTAGTTCAAAATGAAAGATATGTTCTATTTTGGAAGGCTAAGGAAGCAAGAATAAGATTGTAGGCTGCCAGGTTTGAACCAACGGTTTCTATCTATTAATTTATCCAATCCTTACAGTAATCCTGTAATTATCTTACTGTGTTATTATTATTATATCTCTTTACATGCAAGAAAACTAGAGCTCAGAGAAATTAATCAACTTGCCTAAAAAAGTGATAGAGTTGGAATTTGAATTTAAGTCTGCAGGCTCCCATACATGTACAGAAACTCTGAAAATCTCCATCTACCACACAGCATTGGCTTTCATGCTGTACGATATGAAGGTCATATAGGATGGTGACAGTATAATGATGCCAAAGGACTGAGGAGCAGCCATCTCCTCCTCCAGGTCGTAGACATCCCAGAGTTTCCTTCTCAGGTGCCCATTCTCCCAAAGACCACAGCTGTGTTTCTTTAAGAGGAAACATTGAGAATGTAAACTATTGCCCTAAAAGATGCTGTGCTCTTGGACTCAATTACAGGAGCACTGGGAGCACCATTTTTATTGGAGGACCCAGCAAACCAGTTCCTACGTCTCAAAAGACACATATATTTGCAGGATTACTGGGACCCAGATCACAGTCCGAATATGTGGGGAAAAACACTGGCTGATCAGGTATTTGTATTAGAAGCAAATGGCCCTTCATCATCTCTCTTTCTAAGTAGGCATGGCATCAGCTGGCATTAACCCACCACTAGGCCAATCCCTGATTCTTTCCTCTCTAGCTGTCTTGAACTATACCTGCTCTTTCCACCCCATGAATTAGTTTTTGTCTGGTAAACTTCATCTCCTCCTTTAAGACTAAGATCAACTGTCCCTTCCTTTCTGAAGCCTTTCCCTTCTATCCAGGAAGGCATGTGTCCTTCCTTCTTCTCTCCCCTTTGCAGGCTATTGACATGTGAATAGCTCTCAAATGTCACCCTGGAATTGTCTCATGCACCCAGCCTCCTACCTAGACTACAAAGGTAAAGTGGTTGTCTTATCCATCAAGGTCATTATTCTCAAGTTTCAGTAAATTGATTATTGCATATTTGGGTAGATGGCTGGATGGGTCATGGTCACATTTTAGTTCCCTTTTAGTTGTTCAGTAGCTAATTTTCCTCTGTGGTAATTATCCAAACCTTTAACGTCATTCCTTTGTTTGTTTGCTTTTTATACCTTTTCCCATTTATTTGTATTCTCACTCCAAGAGAAATAAATAAGAAACTCATTAGCCAGTTTCATTTCATGCTTACCTTTTTGATGGAAGATAACACTGAAACTCTGGGCCAAATGAAATTGCTAAATTATCTGAGGATTTAAATTATTCAAGATTTCCCTCTTACAATTTAGCAATTTAGACAACAAAGAAGAACAATTAATTAATTCACTTATTCATTCTCTCCTTTCACATATATCAGGTTCTCACTATCACCAGGCATAAGGGTTATATAAAGTCATAAAGAAATTGAGTGTCCTTGTTTTTCTGGGGTCTGCGTCTTATCCTTACTCTGCTTCACTGGGTTTTAACTGGTATACTAGGATCAGCTTGTTTCTGCTTAGCACTTATTGATGAAAACCACCAACTTGAATAATGAACTTAGTTTTATGCCTATTTTTCTCCAACAGGCATCATTTAGAGGTATTAAAACAAGACATTTGTTTATTCTGAAAATTAAATAATTACTTAAACTGGTAGGCTGTGTCCTCTTTACAGAATACTGAAATTTTCAAGTACTCTCCTGCCTGTAATTGTAGACCATTGCTGTAATTAGCTGACAGATACCATAATGTAACACGACTTTACTACATTGGTTCATACTGTGGCCGCACACACACTGCAAAGCATCTGAACACTGAAGTAAACAGATCACTAAAAGTGTGAAACCAAACCTTATTTGGTTTTATTCTTCCGATGTATGTCTCTCAGTCTTTTGGGAATGGCTGCATAATAGTCAGAATAATTGATGCAATGTATGTTCTACATACTCAGAGATCATGACTTGAGTCTCCTTTTGTTGCAGGCTCGTGAAACATGGACTGCTTTGAAAACAACAGCACAGCATTATCTGAATGTGAATATTTTCACCTTTGATACATCTACTGCCCAGTAAATGTGCTTTGCTGGTTAAACCAGGATAGCAAGAATAGTGGGAGTCAAAAAGTGATGCTGTGCCCAAACCACCAGCTTTGGAGACCTGGGAGCAAATCCATGCCATTTACCAGATTATTTATTATGTCTGCTTCATGGACCTGTTGAAAGGAGTAAATATGAAAATCCATGTAGAGGCCTAGAATTAGAAGTTCTCAATAAATGGTAACTTTTAAAATGAGAACTAGAATAAAGACTGAAGAATAACATTTACAAAAAAGGGGGCTCTTGGGGAAAAGGAAATAAGAAACAAAAAAGTAGTGTTATTAAAATTCTCTATCCAAAAAGAAAAAAAAAACTGTTGTAGCTCTTGCTTTCTATTGCTTCTTCTTTGAGAAAACGAGTAGACTTTTTAATTCAAGGAAGGAAAAGTGTTCTCTCAAATGGAGCTAGTCCTCTCCTCTTTTCTTCAGTACTTATCACTTCCTAAAGCCCGTCTATTCTAAGAACATATTTTTGAAACTTTTTTTATCAGAGCGTACTGCTGCAGGCAATAGAGAATAAAATCTTAACTCATAATGGGGAGCAGATGACGATTAGGAAGCCCCTTATCTATAAGTCTTCCTTATAAAGTTTGAAATTTTGTGCAAGTCTTGCATTCTGATCCATAATATGTTTATGTTTGTTTCAATATGAAATAACAGTTTTAAAGAAATCTCACACTCATTATCAGTCACTCCCCATTCCCCCATGCCCCAGCCCCTAGTAATCAGTAATAAATTTTTCATAGCTATAAAAGTAAGAAAGAAAGAAAGAAAGAAAGAAAGAAAGAAAGAAAGAAAGAAAGAAAGAAAGAAAGAAAGAAAGAAAGAAAGAAAGAAAGAAAGAAAGAAAGAAAGAAAGAAAGAAATGAAGGAAGGAAGGAAGAAGAAGAAAGAAAGAGAGAAAGGAACATTTTTAACCTACTGGTCAGGTTCTTTTATTAATCTTTCCAATAAAACTGAAAAATTAACTCTAAAGAAAAGTGGACTAAATTTATCCTATAGTTTTCCACGTATCTATGAAATACCACTTCAGTACTCTAGTTTGAGGAGTACTGAGGAGATGATATAACCAATCACCAAGATTGCCCTCCAAAATCACAGATAAGTGGACTTTTTACCTTCAAAAGTCTATTTCTTTGTATATTTAGGTCAATTGTTCTCTGCAGGGATTTCTTTTGGTAAATAGAAGCATCCCACCAAGACCACAGTTGGTCTTATGCAGTCTTAAACAGTCTCAAGCACTTTTCAGCAGAAAAAATCAGATGCCAAGAAGCTGCACAGTAAAGACTTTGGCCCAGCGCTTCCTTCCCCAAAAGGGCACCAGAAGCTACTCAGTATTCTCCATGTTCTCCCTTTGTTTTTTTAGGCCTTCAACTGATTAAATGAGTTAATCATATTATGGAGGGCAATCTGCTTTAGTCAAAGTCCACCAATTTAGGGGGAAGGGTATAGCTCAGTAGTAGAGTGCATGCTTAGCATACAAGAGGTCCTGGATTCAATCCCCAGTACCTCCATTAAACAAACAAACATAAATTATCTTCCCAACAACAAAAAAAATCTTTAAAAAAAAGAAGTCCATCAATTTAAGTGTTAATCTCATCCAAAAACACCCTTACAGAAACACCCAAGAATAATGTTTGACCACAAATCTAGACAGAGTGGTTCAGCCAAGTTGACACATAAAATTAACCATTACAACTTACTGTAAGTTATTTAGACTGTCTACACACACTCTTATACACACGTGTACACACACACACTCACATAGCTGTGACTGGAGCAACATGTGGTGGAGAAAAAGAAAAGGACTTTCATTTGTTTCATTCAGTCTAACACAAGAAAGAAGCTTCATGGCTGTGAGGCACTAATAATGTGAAATCATAAGGTAGCTGCTAAGTTGATTTTGATTTAGGTAACATTAAGGAGCAATTCTGCAATTAGGTTGTCATCTGATATAACAAGCATAGAAAGGGGGCTTCTTGTCTAAACACAGTTTTGTGAGAAATTATTAGAAATGTATGTGGTATCAGAAAACAAACAAAGCAAAAACAACGTGGTCTTCCTGAAATAATTTATCTAGAAATCTAGTGGTTAACTTCCACATAGTGATCAGGAAGCAGTGAGTATTCAGTTGTGTAGATAAGATTTAAGAAAACCCAGATACTACATATTTAGTGTCTACATACAAAATTAGCTTAGACTATAACAACTCTGAATTCAGTGTTTAAATAAATTGATTATATTGAGGTACCAATATTATGGCTAACTCAATTTAACTGATTATTTTCCAAAGACTCATGATTTTTACTTTGGTGGGGGCAGGGGGAGTGTCCTTTAAGTCATTATCTAATATATAAACCTTGTATAAGGTGCTTTAACTCTGTATCTAATTTATAAACCCTATGTAAAAGTCTGCCTCTTTGAAGACTGAAGGCTCTTTCAACATTTTTAAGAACCTAGAACAAACTATATCAGTCTGGACAAGGAAAGAGAGAGAGGATCAGAGACTACTCTTTTCCTCACTTACTTCCTGAGACTCTGTGGCTGGGATATTTACATGTTCTACTGCAGCATTAAGAACATAAATGCTGTGGTGACTGAATTCTTCTGAAGTACAAGGTTTTCAATCTGAGGTCTAAAAGGAATCATGGTGATTTGCCCGCTTAGTCTGATTGATTAAATAGGCTCACAATTTATGCTCAAGTGACTCATAAAAAAAATATTCCCACTAAATTAAAACTCCCCTGAGATTCTAGTGCATTTTGAGGCTCACTAGCCTCACTCTTGTAACATAAACAGTATTCTGCGAAGTTTTCCTGCCTTTTTTAATAGAACTAGTCAACATATATGTCAAAGATCAGACTGACTCTTAATGGTCTCTTGGACACTCTATCCACTAGAATCCCTATAATGCTGTTTCATGTGGTTTCCCAGTGAACGTTTCAATGCTAAATTAGTCCAAGGAAACAATTCCAAGTCTTCTTCAATGCAATTCATGAGAAGTACAGTTCTAATATTGTTATATATCCTGCTCAAAAACCTCGTCTTGTTTTAAAACTTTTGACTGATGAAGAGGGCAGAAAATAACATGTTTTTTACTAAGACACAGACTTTGCTGTATACTATACTAGACAGTTTTATACTTTATCATACTGCATCATGATAACATTCTGATAAGGTAGGTCCTGCAGATCCCATCTTAAAGAAAAAAATTAAGGCTTAGATATACTACTCAGATAGAGCTAACTGGTATATATACTTCTAAAACAGCAATTAGAATGTCTAGTCTTAAATCCTGGCATCACTAGCTGTGCCATCTTGTGCAAGTCACTTACCTCTCCAGGCCTCAATTTCCTCTTCTTTAATATGGGAATAATTGGGCCTACTTAACATGAGGAATACATAAAATGATATACATGAAGCATTCAGAACAGTGCCTGGCATGTAAATAAACACTCTAATAAAAGTTAGCTACAATTATAATCTTGTCAACAGTTACATAAAAGTCCATGCTCTTTTCTGTATACCACAATTTTGCTCCAGAATTATGTTATCCAGAACTCAAAGCTCCCCATGATCTGGTCCCTCTCCTATTATTTTATCTACAAACAGTCTTGCTACTTTGCATCATTTATTGATTCATTTATTCACTTACTTAACAAGTACTGCTGCCAACTTTCTTTGGCCTGGTCAAGGCAGAGGTACAAAGAGGACTGAGACATAGTCCCTTCTCCATAGAGCTTTAAATTCAGAAGAGAGATAAGCATCTGCTGTATTTATACAGATGAATTACAGAGACTCAAATAATAAATCATATATGCACAGAGGATAGATAACTTACTCAGGGAAGGCTTCACTGAGGAGGTGGCTTTAGATTTAGGTTTCAAAGGATGCATAAGAGTAATATGTATATGCTGTCTTCATAATTATAGTTTTTGTATTTTACTGTATTTTATATTTACAGTATTATACTTATACTATTATTACTATAGCATACATTTATAATATCATAGTATAAGCTTTTTAAGATCAGAATTTATTTGAAATTTATATTTGCAACTCCAATACCCAGGACAGTGGCTGGTATGCAACAAGAATTTGATAAATAAATGGGTACTGTTATGGAGGATGCCTATCAGGGAGGTAAGGAGTATTCACACAATTTTCCTGTTACCATTTGCTATAGATTGAATATTTGTGACCCTTCAAAATTCACATGTTGCATTCTAATCCCCAGTGTAATGGGTTTGGAGGTGGGACCTTTGAGGGTGATTAGGTCAGAGAGCAGAACTTTCATGAATGCAATTAGTGCCCTTATAAAAAAGAAATCAGAGAGCCCCCTTGCCCTTTCTGCCATGCGAAGACACAGCAAGAAGATGGTCATCTGTGAAACAGGAAGCCAGCCCTCATCAAACACCAAATCTACTGGCACCTTGATTTTGAACTTCTCAGCCTCTAGAACTATGAGAAATAAATTTCTTTTATTTCTTGTCATTTATCAGCCACCCAGTCTATGGTGCTCTTTTATGTCACCCAGACTGACACCTTCTTATATCAGTGGCTGAGACAAACAAGTAATATGCAATATAATGTATCCACACATTGTCCAGCAAATCAATAGAGGACTGAATAAGAACTCAATATTTTTTCATTTCTGGCCTTTAGTTTCATCCACACAGCAGACTTAATCTCAAAAGACATCCATCCTCCTGTGCCAATTCATTATAATTTAAATAGAATAACTAATGGATGGGGAATACTGTACATATAGAACACATTAAAAATGAAGGTGTTTATTTTCATATGTTGATTTTACTTATTCCATTTATTTTCTTCAAATTAATCTAAAACATCTTAGGCAACCGAACCAGTAGAGAATATATATATATATCTCACACTGTTATCTTCAATGATAGCGACAGCCTGAATGAATTTTATTGAAAGCAATTTAGCATTGACTGGTTAAATATATAAACTACCCAACTGAAGCAGAGATATTGCCAGGCTCCTTCAAATTAGAGACAAAAAATAAATGTTTGGAGATTACATCACAAATTGGAACTGTCTTGGAAGGCAGTTCAAATGTAAAAATGAAATAAATTATCTAAATTCAAAACATTTTATGCCATCCATCACAGTGACAAATGCAGCTGCATTTTCTCCTTCTGATCATAATGTTAGAAAACAAGCTAATTATTTTTAACAGACAATTTCAGAAAAGGTATGCCTTCTTAGCACTACCTTCTTTTGCTCCATCAGAAGTATATTTTAAAAGGGGTTCTTTGATGATCTTTAATCCAGGCAGTAATAAGAGAGGGAAAAAATAACTTGTAGTATAGATGAAATTTTAAAAACCTTTAAATTGATCATACATAGACTCTCCAACATTTTTCTTGAGAAGCTTAAAGTTTAACTCCTGGTTCTGCCCCTTCCTTGGTTGATGTGAAGGATGTAGTCTGTGATTTAAGAATGTCATCTCTGGAGCCAAAGGCCTGGAGTCATACTTCCCTGGCTAGCATTGTCTCCTTGGTCATGTCCCGTAGCCCCACTGTGGCTGAGTTTCCCACCTATGGAATGATAAATGCACCAACCTCATTGGGGTGGAGTGGTGCTTGCATGACATGAGTTTCTGGCATATAATAATCTCTCTACAAATACTTGTTTGCAGTAATAGAATGCACATATTTTGGCTTCCAAAATAGACTTAACTGTTAGGAAGATTTGTCACCTTACAAATACAAAAGGACTAGTTTTTAAAAAGCTAGAGATTTACCTGCTTATGATAACAGTGTTGAAGAAATTTCCACTAGGGACTCCAGTCAACAATTTTATCATCTGAACTTCTGTTTTTTTTTGATCCACATACCAACATGGGTCATTTTCCCTCAATATACCATAAAATGGTTACCCAAATGATGACAAGCAGGAAGAAAATAAAAATCAAGGAGCTCCCAAGTGTTGGTATTTC